CCTCCCGCAACAACAATGCCCCTGAACTTGATGCTTATTTGAGGTTTGCTAAACAGCAATCTACCTGTCTCCCCTGCATTTAGATAACAAACACACAGCTTTGGTCCTGGCATTTTTAGGTGGTTGTTGGGGACTGGACTCAGACCCACGTGCTTGCACTGTGTTCTGTTCACAGTGTGTTCTACACTTGGTCACAAATGAGTTTATTAACCCTGTAGCCACCAAGGGTACTGAACAAGAGCCAAATAGTAAGATCATCGAATCAGCTGTGGAGTTCTTTCCGCACATCCGATACTTTCTTTTGCCTTCACTTCTCTGGTGCTGGGATTACAGGTGTATCCCACACCGTTTATGTGGCAGCAGGATTAGAACACAAGGGCTTTGTCTACACCATGCAAACTGTTCATTTCTGTCAACTTGACAGTAAACTATCGTCACCTGGGAGAGGAAACCCCAACTGAGAAAATGCCTAGATCAGACTGGCTGTGGGGAATTTGTGGGATTTTTTTGGGGGGGGGGAGTTTGGGGGGGAGGCTAGTTGACTTAGAAGGGTCCAGTCCACTGTAGGGCAGCAGCTGGTCCTTCATAGACAAGTAACTCTTCAGGTACTCACTCAGCCTTGGAGAACAGCAGAGCTGCCACCATGGCAGGGCCGAGGGGAGGGGCCAACATTCAAATTTTTAAAAGTTCACTATAGTGCAATGCAAATAATACAAGACCCTGTCTCTAAAAGAATAAATTGAATTTTAAAATCATTATTTATGATGAGATTCTCAGTGCCAGGTTTCTTTGGTATCTGACAAATACTTTTTCTGAGTATTGTATTTTCTTACACTCTAAAATTTTGTTTTGTTTTTCATATTTCAGACAGGGTGTCTCTATGTAGACCAGGATGGCCTCCAACTCACAGAGATACCCCTGTCTTTGCCTCCTAAATATTGGGATTGAAAGTATTCACAACTCGAGCCCTGGCCTAAAACTTTTTAAAACAACAAAAGTTTTCAATCTTTTTCTTAAGTCTACTGCTAACATAAGAGTTAATTGGCATGTGTGGGCCAAGTAAACACAAAGCCATCCGGCAAATAAACAGCAAACCAATACACAAGCCAAGCCTGCAGATTCTCAGACTATTCTGCTTGTTATGATTATTCATACAAGCCACACCCACTCCCTCTCCCATTCACAGAGGCAGGCTGATTTTCAGCTTCCAGCCTGAGCTTGCTCTCTTATTTGTCTTTCTCTTGGAGAGGCATCTTAGCTTCTGCCTCTCTCCCCACTTCTCTGTTTCCCTCTCCTCTCTGTCTCTCTTTTCCTCTTTCTCTCTCTCTCTCCCCCTCAACTCCCTTCTCCCCTTTTGCCTTTCCCTCTGTAGCTCCCTGAATAAATATTTACCTCCTTCTACATGTTGTCTATCCATGTTTCTGTCTCCTGCCTGCTGGCCATGTGTCTTCCTGCCTGGGCCAGCCACTGCTAGGGGACCGTCAGCCATCTCTGCCTGGTACTGGCTGCTCCCAGGGCCTGCTGCCTGCCACCACATTGCCAGCTGCCACCATTTGGGGACGTACAACATTTCTGCTGCCTACTGCCGCACGGAATCTTGCCACATTTTAAAAAAAATCATAGCACTGCTGTTCCACTCCAGGTTTCAGTCCAAAGAGTATTTCTGGCCAGGCGGTGGTGCCGCACACCTTTAATCCCAGCACTCAGGATGAGGAGGCAGGTGGATCTCTGGGAGTTTGAGGCCAGCCTGGTCTACAAGAGCTAGTTCCAAGAGAGGCACCAACAGCTACAGAGAAACCCTGTCTTGAAACACCCCTCCCCCGAAAAAAAAGTATTTCTATCCCACACTAACGTCACAAAAGCACTATGGGAACTTTTAAAAGAGTTTAACTTACACAAATCATAGGTTTAAAGTAGAAAAGAATGTATAGGAAACATATTTAGTTTTGAGACCCTCTTATATGCTAAAGTAGCAGTAGTCACCAGGCAGATAACATGAATGAAAGAACGTACAGTCCCCTGAATGTGAGTAAGGACTCCATTAATAATTTCAGAAATTCTGAAAAAATTCCGGGCGGTGGTGGGACACGCCTTTAATCCCAGCAATCAGGAGGCAGAGGCAGGAGGATCTCTGTGAGTTCGAGACCAGCCTGGTCTACAAGAGCTAGTTCCAGGACAGCAAACAAAAACCTACAGAGAAACCCTGTCTCGAAAAATCCAAAAAAAGAAATTCTGAAAAAGGAAAAGGCCCAGACTGTGGCTCCTGTTCTCATGGCCAGCCACGACCAACTACATTTTAATTATTACTATATATGTATGAATGACATGTATGTACCTTTGTGAAGGTGTAGGGTGTACATGTCCATGTATGAAGTTGTATGTGCATGTGTCTATGCACGTGAGTGTAGGCATGAATTCCCCTGGAGCCACAGTTACAGGCAGTTGTGTGCTGTAATCCCTGGATGCTGTGAGTCAAGGTTGGGTCCTCTGTAAGAGCAATAAATGATTTAACTACTGACTTTTTTCTTCAGTTCCTCCATCTCTTTTTACTGTTGTTTTGGTTTGGTTCTTGTTTTTTTCAGAAAAGGGTTTGTCTGTGTAGCCCTGGCTGTCCTGGAACCTGCTCCACACACCAGGCTTGCCTTGAACCCAGAAACCTGTCTCTGCCTCGCAAGTGCTGGGATAAAGACATGCACCACCACACCTGGCTTTCTGACAAATGTTTACTATCTATAAAAGGCAGTGAAGGCATAAATAAGCACACAACCCTACCAAACAAAAAGGTCTGTGATAGACTCAGCAGAGGGAATAATGGCACCTGCTGACAACCCGAATCCCATTTTTTTTTCCAGACAGGGTTTCTCTGTTTGTCAGTCCTATCTGTCCTGGAACTATCTTTGTAGACCAGACCAGTCTTACCTTGAACTCAGAGATTCGAAGGCCTCTGCCTCCAGAGTGCTGGGATTAAAGGCATAGGCCACCACCCCTGGGGCAAATCCCACCTCTTCTTTTTAACAGGATGGTAGGAAAGAACCAACTTTTGCAAGCTGTTCTCTGACCTCTACCTAAAAGCAGCCTTGACACATACGCTACCACACACATAGATGCACACAAATTAATAAATGAAATACTTAAATTTGCCAGGCCCAGTCGCATGTATCTTTAATCCAGCACTCAAGAGACAGAGGCAGGAAGAGATCCACTTGCATTTGAGACCAGCCTGATCTACACTGTGAGTTCTAAGAACAACCAAGTACACATAATGAGATCCTGTTTTTTGTTTTTTCTTTTTGACAGCCAAATCTTTATTAAGGGAATTGGTCTCTGGGGTTAGGGAGTGGGCCTGGGCCCCTCACTACACAGCTTGTTAATCGTCACTGTCTCCAGAATCCTGTGGCTTCGTCGCATATGAACGGTCTGGAGGGCTGGAGAAGGGCTCAATGTGCAGGGCTTCAAAGGCATGGTCCTCTCGGAAGGCCAGGCCCACTGTGGCTGGGGCCTCTGGCCCTGCTGTCAGGCTAGTGAAGCCACACTCGCCCAGAGTTTTCCCATCATCAAGGAGCTGGTCGCCCTTGTACAGCTGCTGTTCATCTGATGGCCGCTTAAGGATGCTCTCAACGATGTGCTTCAGCTCGAATTCGGTACTCGACTCCTTGGCAACCGTGAAGATGGTGGTCTTGTGGCGCCAGATCATGAGGAACACGTCCATCCCAGAGGCTGCTTCTGGCTCCATGCACGGGCACAGCCACGCTCACGCCCCAGATCCTGTTTTTAAAATATCAAATTAAATAAAACTCACCTTGGGTTGGATTTAAGAAAGGTTATTTTGTATTAAAACCTGCATTTATTAGTTAGAGGAATCAGGTACTTGAGCCATAGTGAACATGTGGAGGTGAGAAGAAAACTTGGAGTTCAATCCTTCCACACACTGAGCTTTTGTTGTTGGTTTTTTTCAAGACAGGGTTTCTCTGTTTAACTGTCCTGGTTGACCTGGAACTCCCTTTGTAAATGTAATGTCTGTCCTGTCCCTTCAAGAGACAAGCCCAGCCCTCCCAAGTCTACAGAGGCAGGAGGATCTTCCTTCTGCTTCCTCCCTGCAAGCTCTCCCTTTCCTCCCTCCCTAAGACGTAGTTTCTCCTCCCTCTCCTCTCCTCTCCCCCCTAGATGCTCTCTCTGTTTCTCTCTCTCTGCCTCTTTCTCCCCATTCCCTTTCTTCCTCCCTCTACCCTGTCTCCTTCCCTTCCATAATCCACTAAACAAATATCCAACATCACTCTTGCATGCTGTGCCTATCCATCTCTGTCTCTCACCCGCCATAGTTCCTTGGGACGTGGTGATCCACCAAAGACTCTCACCTGTTGTGTGGCTCCCTGCCTGGGACACACTGCCGACCCTCAGGGAACTGTGCAGTGTTTTATTTTTACAATTACAATAGACCAGGTTGATCTTGATCTCACAGAAATCTGCCTGCCTCTGTGTCTAGACATGTGCCACCTTGCCCAGCTGCCACCCTTGAGTTTTTAAATCTGAAAATGATTTTTTTGTTTTTTATTTTTTTTATAATGCAAAAACTGGAAGCTCTTATTGTGCAAGAAACAACTTGTGCAAAAACTTACATTTCTATACATGGAAACTTCCTAGGTAGCTAATAAAATAGCTACTGTATACATATATTAAAAAAAATAAAAATAACTTCACTGCCCATAGGCTAGCTTCTTACTGATCTTAGCATCACAGAATAGAAATAAAAACTTCTAGAAAAGAGACAAATGTAATCATGTCCTATGGTGAACAATTAAAGTTCAACTGTTCACTAATCTTACACCTACACCTGCCCATGTAACCATACTTCCTAAAGAATGAAAACCTTGGTAACATTTCTAAAAACAGCCAACAAAATTCAAAAAAACTCCCAACACTATAGAGAATAATTCTGAGATCGTATTATGAAAATGAAAATTTTCTCAAGCTGACCAGTCAAAAAACGGAAATCAACATTCTCACTTCTCTAGGAGTAATTCTAGTTCTTCCTGCAAAGAACTAAGCTGCTCCTTCTCCCTGTCTTCTTTTTGTTTGAGTTCATCCAGAACAGCCTGAAACCTGTTCTTGAGAGCCAAGTTCTCTACTTTCATGATGAGATCCTCCTGGCGCTTTGCCCTGTCTTGGGTCTCCTGGAGCTTGCCTTTCATGTTATCAATCTGTTTCTGAATTCCCATAACCAACTGGTTGGTTCCTTCATTTTCTTGGTGCTGTTCACCTGACTCATTGAGCTTGTCTTGTAGCTGCCTCTCCAGATCTTCCTCGGTGCCAATGATGTTGACATCTTCCTCATCTTCACTGCTGCTGCTGAGGTCATTGAATATCTCTCGAAGCTCATCAAGTTCTAGTGAGTCATGGCCCTGCCTGTGGCCAGACATTCCTGGAGAGGAGATATCGAGGCCTTGATTTTCGGTCTCCCTTGTTTCATCTTCAGCAATTATCTCCCAACGAGTGCTGACAGCTTCAGCATCGGTACTCAGCAACCGCTTCACTTCTTTTTCCACATCGGGAGACTCAATATACTTCTTCTTTGCTGTCTTCCGGAACCTTCTCTTTCTGACATTTTTTAGAGGTAGAGTGATTCCATGGTTCCAAAGAAACTTCTTCTCTTTGTCCTTATCTTTTTCCTTGCTTGCTTTGGGATCAGCAGAGGCAACCGGCTCCTCCACAGGAGGGTATAGGTCACCATCTACTGTGGATACAAGCATCTGACAGATATCTGCTGTCTTGTAAAAGGTTTTTTTGTCGATGGTTTTCAAGCTTTCCATAACACAAGGCAAATCTACCAATTTTGCGGCCAAGGGCACTCGATCCACCCTGACGATTCCATGCCTCCCGTCAGGGTGTAACTCAATGGTCAGTCTGTCCTTCAGGTTGACGTGTCCAGACTGCACCGCCGTCCTCACAGTTGAGGCATATTCTGGGGGCAATCGTAAGATAAACTGGCTCTCCAGTTCATGAGGCGCATCGTCTTTGCTCTTACTCATCTTTGATTCCTTGGGAGTTACTCCTCCAACAGATGCTTGCTGCACTAAAAAAGAGTTCAGCTCAGTCTGCAGGCGAGGTACAGCTTCCCGCTGCAGGAGCAAAGCGGCAGGGAGCTGCGCCTCTACCTTTAGGTCTCTCCACGCTCTCCGCCTAGGCACACCGACCTGCGTGCCACCAACGAAAGGGCTCAGGTCCTGCAGTGTGAAATCTCGCCGGCCGCCGCTCGAAGCATCGGACTCCGGAGCTCACCGCCTCCGTCCGCCACCCACCTACGCAGGAAACAAGCGAGGAAGAGTGAAAATGATTTATTTTAAAATGACAATATATACTATTTGAAATGTGTGAGACTAAAATGTTTTCTGTCCCTCGATTATTTGTCTTGGTCTCATGTATGGAATATCACCTTTATAAAAGTGTGTATTTATTTTTAATTCATGAGTCATTTGCCTACATGTATGTATGGGCACCACATGAGGGCCTGGTGCCATCAGATGCCAGAGGGGAGAATCGTATCCCATGGAAGCAGATGGTTGTGAAATGTCATGCAGGTGCTGGGAACTGAACCCAGGTTTTCTAACAAGAGCAATCAGGGCTCTTAACAACTGAACTATCTCTCCAGCACAGGAATATTACCTTTCGATAATTATAGTACCCCTCAAAATTTAAGTTTTTAGAGGAACAGACCACAAAAATAACTTACATTTACCAAAAGATATGATAGAAAAACAAGCATTTTGGCCAGGCAGTGGTGGCACATGCCTTTAATCCCAGTACTCAGGAGGAGACGCCAGCCTAGTCTACAAGAGCTAGTTCCAGGACAGCTAGGACTGTTACACAGAGAAACCCTGTCCCGAAATACAAACAAAAACAACCATGCATTTTGGGGCCTAGTTATAGGCCAGTTAATAGTGTTTACATAGCATTCACAAAGTCCTGGGTTCAACCCTTGACAACATCAGATGTGGTGGCACACAACCTGTAATCCCAGATCCCGGGAAGTAGAGGCAGAGGGATCACAAATTCAAGGAATCCTTGGTTACATAGTGAACTTGAGGGCATGCTGAGTAAAATGAGACCTTATGTAAGAATAAAAAAAGGGCCGGGTGGTGGTGGTTCACGCCTTTAATTCCAGTACTCCAGAGGCAGAGGCAGGCAGATCTCTGTGAATTTGATGCCAGCCAGGTCTACAATGGGAGTTCTGGGATAGCTAGGGCTGTCACACAGAGAAATACTGTCTCAAAAAACAAAAAATGAAAATAAAACAAAGATAAAAAGGAAGGTTTTGGGTTGTCTCTGTTTTTGAAGATGGCTCAATTTCAGAGAAACTGAGAAGCCTGCTGCAATCCTACAGGCTGGGCTGCGAAGGATGAGGAGGTGTAGAGAATCTGGAGTAAGTCTCAATAAGCTGTAGCACAATTAACAAAAACACAGACACAGATATTGGGGTTCAACCTGAAGACCAGAAAAGCAAACCAGCCAGACACTACCACATACCTCTCCTTCAGTCCGAGTATGGTGGCAATCCTGCCTCCAGGAATCCTCAGAATGAGACTGGCTGAGAGCTGTCTCCTCCTGTCTTATATCTCTCTCTAGGGCAGGGATTAAGGGCGTGTACCACTCCCGCCCAGTTTCTATGACCAACTAGTGTGGCTACTTGGATTAAAGGTGTGTGATGCCACTGTCTGGTCGGTGAAGCTGACCAGGGTGTTTGTTTTACTCTCTGATCTTCAGACAAGCTTGATTTACTAAAATACAAATGAAATACCACTACAATAAGCAGTCTGACAGTGTGAACGCCTAGATCTAGTGCCCACCAGGGTACCACACGCTCCTCTGCGATCTCATCAATACTGCCTCATACCAGCATCTGTACCCATTTACTCACCGCAACAGGAGAAATCATTGCTTTCCAAGTTCACCTGAACTTGAGTCAAACGTGTATCTATAAATGTCAGAAATCAGAGGCAGAGGTCACAGGAAGCAGTTAGGTGAGAAGGAAATGTCCAGCAGATTCAATCTCATGTGGGTGAAGACACGTAGAAAACACACCAGGGAGAGCCAAGCCACTTTATTTTAAATTACCTGAGGAGCAGGAATGGCTGGACAGGGAGATGCCTCGGGAAAGAGGGCACATAGCAGAGGGGATGAGAAGTCTGCCTCGGGTGGACACTTCATTTAGATCATCCTTCTTACAAGTCCTTACAGGTCACTCTGCAAGTCATTGAGGCCCTGAAGGAACAGATCCTCTCACCCACGGCTGTGGGCATGGGACTGAGAGCTGCTGTGTTCCATGCTAGAAAGGGTGTTCTGAAGCTCTAAGAGGAAGTAAAATGAAAAACCAACCATTAGCAAGACTGTGATGTGCATAAAACCAGGCCCTGGACATCCTGGAAAGGAAGCACAGGTCTGGTTTGTATGTGCCCATGCACAGGTGCTTCTCACTGAGTACCTGTTTCTGTCCTCAACTGCAATGAGTGATATAATGGGGAATATAGTGGTACCTGTCCTGGAACTATCTCTTGTACACCAGGCTCTCCTTGAACTCACAAACTACCTGCCTCTGCCCCCTTCTTGAGTGCTGGTTTCAAAGGCATGCACCACCATCGCCTGGCCCTGCTTACAATGTTCCTAAAACTTTGTGTTTCCTGGCTGTCGATGGAAAATCCAAAGGCCAAGTAATCCAAGATCAGGGCTCAAGGGAGCCCTTCCTTATTTCTTAGGCCACGTGAGATCTGTCGTCAAAATTAATAAAGTAAAAAAGAGCCAGGTGTGTTTTGTCTGCAAGCTAGTATTCTAAACTCTTCGGAGGGAGAGGCAGGAGGGTCAGAATTTCAAAGCCAGTTCCAGAGCATGTTTGATGCTAGTCCAGTAGTACAGGAGAACATGTTTTAAAAGGGGTAGCAAAGGAAATATACACATTATTTCTTATATTACTTAACATAGTAATAAGCCTTATGGTCTGACTTCCTTGTTCATGTTCTCCCTCCTTCTGCTCTTCATCTGGCCCTTGGGAGCTCAGTCCAGTGCTCCAATGTGGGTTTCTGTCTCTATCTCCATCCATCACCCGATGAAGTTTCTTTATCAATGACTTCTCACCCCCCCCCCCCCATTTCAGCCACATTGAGAGAGTCTGGTTTGGTCGCATGCTCATTCAGTCCCGGTCCAACTGGATTTGGTGAGCTCCCATTAGAACTGGCACACTGTCTCAGTTAGTGGACCAAACCCTCGTGGTCCAGATTTCCTTGCTCATCTTCTCCCTCTTTCTGCTCTTCAACTGGACCTTGGGAGCTCAGTCTGTTGCTCTAATGAGGGACTTTTGTTGGACTAGAAGTCCAAACATCAGGGATAATTTGGTCCAGACACCATTCACAAAGCCTCAATTAATGCAAAAGTAAGAGAATTTTTTTCTGTCACAGCAGGGCCCTTAAGGTTCGAGATATGAAGGACATCTGATTGCTGTTACAGTCCATCTTTTAAAGTAAAAAGCCACAGACAAAAGTGGGGAACCTACAGGTTGTTTTCCAACTTATTGGATTGGCTTATTCAAAGGGTTACTAGCAGTGATTGATCTATTCCAGGGCCAGAGAATAGCCGTGGGATCGGGTGAGATAAGAGAGCATCTCTAGGCGGGCCGCGGTGGCGCATGCCTTTAATCCCAGCACTCGGGCGGCAGAGGCAGGCGGATCTCTGGGAGTTCGAGGCCAGCCTGGTCTACAAGTTCCAGGCCAGGCTCCAAAGCTACAGAGAAATCCTGTCTCAAAAAACAAAAAGAGAGAGAAAGAGAGAGAGAGAGAGAGAGAGAGAGAGAGAGAGAGAGAAAGAGCATCTCTGTGGTCTTCCTGACCTTGTTCCAGTGACTAAATCAATCCATCAGGAACTGAGGCAACATCTGTGGGTTGTCTTTGCCTCAATTCCCAGAATGGAGTTATGTTTGAAGATTATTCACAAGGACACAGGGTGATGAGCAGCCCAGCATGTGTGTGTGTGGGCGACTGTCCCGTTTCCAAGAGAGAGTGAGTGTAAGGTTTTAGAAAAATGTCTTAGGGTTGAGGGGGCTTAGAAATGCATTTAGAGTCTTTCACGTTCTCTCTATCTCCACCATCGCTGCAGTTCCTTACTCTTTGAGGCAGAATCCCTCATAGATCTGGAACTTGACATGTGGGTGTGGCTGCGGCTCTCAGAATCTGCTTCTCCAGGGCTGGTTTTATAAGCATGGTCTGTCCGGCCTGACTTCTTTTTTCATAGAGGCTCCATGAACCTAATTCATTTCCTCACCAGAGCACTTTGTGGCTGAGCCATCTCCATAGCTCCCACTATTCATACATATTAGGTTTAAGAGCTGCCTCAGGGCTGGAGGTGTAGCTCTTCATGGAGTGCTTGCCTGGTGTCTGCTTTGCTTCTCCTTTCTGTGTTATCTTGTGATTGAAAGCAACTTGGGGTAAGTGAATTTAAAACAGCCCAGGACCAGCTGCTGCCTAGGAATGGTACTTACCGTGTACAGTGGACTGGGCCCCTCTAAATCAATGAGCCTCCCCACATTAAAAAAAAAGAGCTAGTTCCAGGACAGGCTCCAAAACCACAGAGAAACCCTGTCTCGAAAAACCAAAAAAAAAAAAAAAAAAAATCCCACAAAATCCCCAGAGGCCAACATTTTTGTTTTTTGTTTTGTTAAGACAGGGACTCTCCATAGCTTTGGAGCCTGTCCTGTAACTAGCTCTTGTAGACCAGGCTAGCCTGGAACTCACAGAGATCCGCCCGTCTCTACCTCCTGAGAGCTGGGATTAAAGGTGTGTGCCTCCACCGCCCAACCAGTCCCCTGTGTTAAGGCAATTCCACAGTTGGGGATTCCTATCCCAGGTGACAATAGTTTACTGTTAAGTTGACAGAAATTATTACTGTGCATATATGAATGTACCTATGTGACTCAGAGGCCAGTTTCATGGATTTTGCTCACTCGCCTTTACATGGGTCCGAGATATCAAACTCAGGTTGGTATGCTGGTGTG